CCAGTAGGATGATATCAGCCACAGAAAATTGGTATATTACGCAGCATGCAAAACGGCGAACTTAAGAACAAATTCCTATTCAGCTTAGATGTGGTTTCATTGTATCCTAGTGTAAATAATGACGCAGCCATCGAGACATTACGTTCATACCTCGAAAGAGAAAGGAACAATATTTATCTATATCAATTTTCTGTGGCTGATATCATCCTACTAACCAAAACCATCTTCCAGAACAACTGCTTCTCCTGGAAAGGAAAATTTTACCAACAGCTTCGAGGTTTAGCAATGGGAAACCGGTTAGCACCAATACTCGTCATTCTCTACATGGATAGAATTGAGAATCAAGCAATCTACTCCGACCTATCCCTTTCTGTCTCCCTCTACTACCGATATATTGACGACTGCATCACACCAGCTAGCAATCCGGAAGAAGCCGTGTTTATCCAAAACAAGTTAAACTCCCAAGACCCTGCAATCCGTTTTGAGATTGAATTACCGGACGTAGATGGCTTCCTTCCATTCCTGAACACTAAGATCAAAGTGAACGAATCTGGATGCGTCGAAACGGGGTGGTACACAAAACCTGCCAAAAAAAGGTCTGATGTTGAATGAAAGATCCCATCACCCAGAACATATGAAACAAGCCTGCATAAGTAACACCATGGATAATAAAATAAATGGATAGGACTCTCGCTGACGTAAGCAAAAACAACCTAGTTTCAATCTGTGACGTCACGCGTATTGCAAAGTTCTCTGCATTTTTGTTGTTTCGCTATATTTTCCGCCTTAAAAGAGCAATATTGAAGCATAAACCGGTCTAATTGTTTTAAAAACATGCCTAAGCCACGACAAAGTATTCAAGGTAAATGTTTTTCGTCTTTGTTTTGTATTTTTTTACATTTGTAGCTACGAAATTGGCGTCCCCAATTTTAACGAAATTTGGGATGCCTTTTTCACTGCTTAAGTGCTTGAAATATTTGCTAAAATTGACTGGGAATACTTAGAGATTTCATCGTAGAAAGGCGTAGTTATATTCATTTGCTGTTTGACTAAAATGTTTAGCTGTATTATTGCTAAACATGCCGTTTCTGCGAATTTAGTTTGCAACTAGGTTTCAACATCCAATCACGCCATCAGCCCATTGAAAACATTAGGTCACGTCAGCTAGTTTCCTATCCATTTATTTTATTATCCATGGTAACACCATCAACACTTACACCGCGATATGTTCGAGTGACGCCTTACTCGAAGAAGCTGAGCAAACGTTCAAAAGAAGAGCTATACGAAACCGTTATGATAACAGCTACGTTGATCGAGTCAAGCAGAGAAAGAAAACAACACAGAAACAGAAAGAATCCCTCCCCACGCTGACTATCCCGTATGTGTCAAGTGGCTTCACGAACAACATCAAAAGAGCGGTTAAACGTTCTAACCTGAACGTACGAATAATTCAACGACCCCAAAGCTCCCTCAAGAACCTCCTTGTCGAGTCAAGACCCCACGATAAGTCGTGCAAAGACGTTTCCAAATACCCTATTTGCCACAACTCATCTATTCCCGTGCAGTTCTCGCAGAAAGACGTCGTCTATTTAATTAACTGCGATCTGTGTGGACGAGGCTATGTTGGTGAAACCAGTAGACCTTTTGTCGTCCGTTATAAAGAACACTACCGCTCCGCAGCTAATCCCACAGCACCATCATATAAGAACGTGGCTTTTTCCAGACACTATATCGAGTGCCACCCTGGACAGGAACCAAAGTTGAAAATTCTGAAGAAAACAAGTGGCTCATTGGACAGAAAGATTACAGAAGCATTATTCATCCAGAAGCTAAAACCAGATTTGAACAATAAATACGAACAGGTTAGCGTAGCAAATTTTCTAGTGTAAGGATTTATATACTATTTTCGGACACGCTCGTTAAAACACTTAGTTCTAATTTATCTAATTGATATATTTAAATTCTCGGACACGTCGTCACTTATATGTTTACGCAAACGCATACACGCGAGCTAATAACGGTCGCATGCTTTAACGGTTTTTTAGTGCGTATAAATGTAACCTGATGATGGAGTAAACTCCGAAACGTTGTTACAATTGATTAAATTTGTTATAAAAAAAAGCCTTCTGGTCGTTACTAAAAATAAAATTATTACATCATCATAGCATAAATATTTCTTCTCAGACATATTCTGTATCCTATGAAAAAGCAACGCAATTTTGAGAATTCGGAAATGGTGTCTCATAGAACCTAAAATAATTTAAATTCAACAATTCTGATCAAAATCACATTAGGACCCCCCCCCCCCAGCATCACAGAGAGGAAAAGGTGACACTGACCCCTCCTCCTATTTTTCAAGGTGACTTTTCCAATTCATTTAATTCCGAGTAGAAATGACTAGAAAAATAATGGCTTCGATGTACTTTATAATTTTCGGAATTATGCTAGAATTCACTCCCAACTCCTAATCTAATCAAATCAACTCAAATCAATCTCCTAATCTGATCAACTCCTCCAAACTCTCTTTCTTTTGTGAATTCAAAAATGAATACAAAATGGAAGAATACTTATCCCTTATTCAAAATCCAACAATAAGAAGAACATTTTCCCAATATCGTATAAGCAACCATAACTTACAAATTGAACGGGGAAGATACGAAAATATACCCCGAGAAGAACGTATCTGTAAACTATGTGATTCTGGCGAAGTGGAAAACGAATTTCATTTCGCCGTCGCATGCCAAAATTACCAACACTTACGAGACAACTCAAACAACATTCTCAAAAGCATGTTTGATCTCAAAATAACAAAAGAAACTAAACAAAAATTACTTCAACACACGATGTCATCGGACGATCCTGTTTTAGTAAATCTATTTTCTAATTATTTATTTATCTGCACAAAAGAAAGAGAAGATAGCCTCAAATCTCTGGTAACCCAAAACAACCCAAAAACAAATTAGTCTTAGTCTATATTTTTACTATACAAATTATTTTTAATTTGTATAAAAAAAGGGAAACCTCTTAAATGACTGCACACGTCGTAGTCGTAATTAACACTATATTTCGAATGCTCTATAAACCGTACATGTATATATTTGTATCCATACATATATATGGCAAAAATGAACAAAAAACACTTTAATTTCAATATATATAAAAATCAAAATGTAAATCTATATCCTTTTATATATTATCTATTTTTCATTATCTATACCGTCTATTCTATATGTACTATACTTTATATACTTTTTTCTATTCTAGCAATACCTGTAAATAGGTCATGCATTTGAATAAAGAATAATAATAACCACCCCCAAAATGCATGAAATCGCAATTCAGGGACCCTAAATTTCAAAATTTTCCGGACCCCGGACCTTCCTAAACGGGTTCACGCCTTCGGCGTGAGGTTCGCCCCCCCCCCCCGCAAAATTAAGGTTTGCCTACGGCACTGTTTATAGCTGTACGACTATAGCTACAAAGAGTTGAAGTTATTGTTTAAAGTAAAATATAGCTGAAGTTAATAAATTAAAGTTTCACAAAATCTCTCTTCAGACTCGCGAGTTCGCCAAACCTCGACGGCTCATATTTTTCGTTCCGCCTTTTTTTCCTGCCCCCCCCCCCCAGTGAAAATTCCTTAAAAAGGCACTGTCAGCTTTTGTTCGTATTTTCATCTGCTTCCTCAAGAGCAATTTCATTTCACATTTGTGTTCAAAATACCTTTCCGCCATTCTATTTGTTCGGGGAAAATCATTAATTGTACTGCAGTACAATTAATGAAATAATTGTACTCCTCTCAACCAATTAATCAGCATCCAGTAATTTTGTCACGCTAATAATAATACACATAATAACGTATAATAACATACCTAACATATATATTTTGGGAAAATTGATCATTTTGTGATTAAAAGTGATATTTTTACGGGATTTTCGGAAAATATAATGGTTTGCCATGCAGCAAGGCGAGGAGTTTTTGCATGCATGTATTTTTAGTAAATTATTAATAATATAGCAAATTATGAGTTAATGTTTGAGCATGCAAATCATACACTGCAAATCATTATACTGCATGTATGATGCACACGTCAAAAACCAAAACAAACTATGTCTTTTCACGGACAAGCGGATAAGGTGTTACTCGCTCAGGTAGGACAAACAAGCGCTCTGTTTATCATGGAATCGAGTTAGGGCCTACTCGCGGCATTTGCTGCATGATGCATGATTGCCGCATGACGCCGAAATGGCGCCAATACAGAAAAGGATTTTAAAAGCCGTTTGAAACGTTAAAATACAATAAGCGCCAAGAAATGTATTTAGTGATCCGTATGTATTTTTAAACTATTATATTTCAAATGCAAAGCACATACATTATATCTGGGGCGGCCTAGTTACTCAGCTACATCATGTAAACATGCAGTTACCCGGCATTACTACTTACTATAATTTATTTATTTATTAACTTTACAATCATACAAAATTCTAACAATGATTGAAGGTATGGTCAACAGGACATGAGTCCCATGTGAAGACCAACCTGATACAAAACAATAAGTAGACATACATTAAAGACAAGGACTAGAACACTATATATTTACATATCTATATAAAAATTAATAGTTTAGATTATGAGCAACAGCTTAAGTTGAAAGAACGGTATTTAGAGCAGAAGTCAACTCCCTCACGACGTGATCTTGTGGTGGTCAGACGTATTGTTCTGATCAATATGAATTCTACAACCACTTTAAACGCCTTGTATGGCAATTTTTGCCTAAAGAAGAATAAAGTTAAATGGACAGGAACGCTAGAAGGCCTTAAAGCATTTGTGGCTACAGAAATTAACGAAAATACAGCCGAAAGTACAAGTGGAATGGAAGTACATGGAATTTCGACAGTGAATTTCTATCAGTTACGTGGCATAAAACAAGTGGGAATATATATTTTAAAGGAGAAAAAGGCAACGACCTCACGAAACGAGTGTACTCATTCCTAACGGCGAGCGCGCCGCAGAAACTGCCGATCCTGTCGAAGCCGAGCTGGAAAAGTCAATGGAAAATCTATTGGCCGACGATGTCGACGTGACGAGTGATAACATCTTTAATGAGCCGTTTTGCCTAGCTGTGTCGACACCAGCGAGGGTTCTCAAACCGATTGATAGGGGAGAGGCTGCGAAAGAATTGAGAAATCGTCATTGAGAACACGAGGAGGCCATTTCTAATCTCGAAAATACAAAAGCGAGCTCGAAGCCAACAAATGAAAATTTGCATAGAGGTTGCCGATTTTGCATACGGCGACAAATTCACATAATCCCTCAGGAAGCATAGACAAAAGCAACAATGGTGCCTCTGAAATTGGTCTATTGAATTCTAAGCTTGAGAAATTTGCCGATAACGTTACAACCAAATTAGCAGATCTCACATGCGAATTAAGAGGGAATCTCCACTATCACCGAGCAACTGGTGGCACATGATGAAAAATGAAATGTTTTCTTATTTTGTCCAGTGATACACTAATGTATACTTAGAAAAGTGATGGGGTTTTTTTTCTGAAATATTATTTTAAACGCCGAAAAATTATCAAAACCTGACATGTACCCAATCCCAAGATTCGTGAAATTAGCTAAAAACATAGTGAGTCATAGCCTCTCGAAAACTTCGTTTTGTTCAGTTCGCGTCTTCAGGAAACCTCACTTTCGCTCACGTGTATATAAGATGTTTATAAACAACGATAGTCTATTTTGCAATCTTTTAAATGATGTTTCAAAGTCAAGGCAAGCGTGTAAAAATCGCCTTATTTTGCGATCCAAAAAATTCTAAATTGGTACACTTTTTGAAAATTAATTTTCCGTATCCGGGAAAACTCCAATTTCCTTGAAATTTAGGGAATTTAAAGAGAAACTGTTGCTCTAAAAGCTGATGTAAAAATTATTTTGGGGCTTTTTGTTACCGCGGAATTATACTGACTATAATATCGGGGTCTCTGTAAAGAACGGAAACCGTAACGACGGAAACCGGAAACGACCGAAACCGGAAATTCCCGCCTAATTTCCCGCTCAAAATTGCCTAAAATTGAAAGCGCGCTCAATTCACTGAGCTGCTCAATTACTTTGTGACCTTGTTGAATTTGAAAAATGGACGAAGATGGAAGCGATGTTGAGGTAAATTTCATTCCTTTTTCTGGTTTGTATATTAAATCTAAGTCCTTTAGTCAATAATTCTATTCAATTATTGTAGAATCAAACACTATTTAATTGCTATTTAATTTTTATTTTATTGGGCTATTTAATTCCTATTTGTCAAAGTATTTATTTCCTATTTTTACTATTATATTTTTTCGAGGTTTTTCCTATTTAAATTGGGGTAGAAAGGCTATTTTTTTCCTATTCAAGTGGAACCATATTTTTTCCCTATTCATGATATATTTCTAAACAAATACTTAACTGATGTACTCGAATAGAAATTAAATAGGTTTCAAATATGATAAAAATAGAGCTATTTAAGGAAATTATTAAAAATATATACTATAGTTTCGACATAGTTAATAAATATGTATGAAATAGTTAAAACATAGTGACAATATAGGTATAAAATATGTAATAAATAGTTGAAATGAGTTTCAACTAAGTTTAAAATAGTCAATAAATAGTTCAAAAATAGTGATAACATAGTTTAAAAAATAGATAATAAATAGTTCAAAAATAGTGATATTATAGTTTAAAAATAGATAATAAATAGTTCAAAAATAGTGATAATATAGTTTAAAAATAGATAATAAATAGTTCAAAAATAGTGATAATATAGTTTAAAAATAGATAATAAATAGTTCAAAAATAGTGATAATATAGTTTAAAAATAGATAATAAATAGTTAAAATACATCCCAGCTTGTTAAAAATAGATAACAAACAGTGGATATAATATTGCCCAAATACTAAGATTAAAAATAGTTAAAAAATAGTAATAACATATTAAATAAATAGTTAAAATATGTCCTGTTAATACAGTTAAAATAGTTATTAAATATAGTGTATACAAATACATATAGCCTATAAATATTTTTAAAATATATTATAAATACCAGTAGTTAAAACATAGATAATAAAAAGTTAAAACATATAATGTAAATAGTCTTTAAATAAAATATAATTAGTAAAAAAAAATTGAGAACAAGTGTAGAAGTGCTGAAACATCAGAGGCTATTATGGACCCTACTTTAGTATTTACCGTCTGTAAATGCCAGACAATTTTACTTATCAGTAGGTAGAGGTCTGTAAAAAAATCAGTTAAAAATCTGTAGTTAGAAGTCTCTATATTAGCCAAAGAGTTAAGTATATACATACAATAACTTGGCTGGGGACCGGGCAGAAAAAAGCAAGAACATCATGTAACATCAAGAATAGGGCGAAGCTCAGCTGCAGCTAGTTCAGGCCTTCTTTACAGGTTAGAAAAAACATTTATATATTTGAATAATACCCTGAATCTAGCTGGATATTTTTCAACTATCCAACATATACCCTGTATGGAGCTGCATAGCAAAAACATTCTATCCTGCACACCCTACAAAGAACTTCATTCTTCAAGTAAGTAAGGTAAGAGCAAATTGCTCCTTTATAGGTGTTAATATTTAGGTGAGATATGGGCGAGCATGCCACAGTCGGTAAGTAAAATTGTCTAGCATGAAATGTCAGAGTTAAATAATAATATCAAAGTACTTAAGTAGGAAGTGTTTGATGTCAACATGAAACATGGGCAGAGTCTAGTACGCTAGCTAGACACTTCCCTTGATGAATAAAATTGTCCGGCATTAGGCAAGATAACATTTAATAACAAAGTGCTGAATATTGGGCTCATTGGAGTGAAATGGGTAATTCCAAAAACAATCAAACCCTTGCCGGGGTGTCTCTAAAATATATAAAATGTAGCCCAAAGGTTGTTACATATATTATTAAGCAGAACATGTGGTGTATTAACTAAATGTATTCATAAGTTTGAACAAGCAAACTAAGGACTTTAACTGTTTCCAGTTAGGGACACATCTATAATCAAGTTGCCACATATGACAACAACACATCAAATTGATATTTTTATCTATCTTAAACTCACCTACCTATATATCAATAAATATTGGAAACTTATGAAAGTACCAGTTAATTTGAAACCAGTCGATAAATTTTCTCAAACCATGTTTAGCTGGGACATGTCTGGGTAGGCATATGAGAATTGAGTAGATGCCATCATGTCAAGCTATATTATTTTATACAACATCTGGCAATCTGTCATATACACTATAGTATACACAAAGATCACAGTATACTATTTGGCATTACAATAAACATCATTTATAAATATAAAGGCTGAGTCAAATGTAAGCCATTCTATAAAACTAATGTTGTTTTAATTCAAATATTGTCGCAGCAAATTGAAATTTTAAGCCGGAACATGTGCTCAAAATTCACGAATGAAGATAGTAAATATTTCCTTTCAAAATTGCTCTATTTATATATAAAACATAACATAATTCTTACCTGGATGTCACCCAGTCATCCCTGTCCTTTTATCTTTACAATAAGTAACACTTTCGCTCAATAAAAGCTCTGTATTTGAGCCATTTCGAGCGGAAAGTTTAAAACAAAAAAATTTTAAAATATGGCGTTGTGAATTGTGACGCTATCCCAGAAAGCTTTGCGCGTTGTAAGAAAATTAGGCACCAGTCTGTCAAACTGCGCTCGTCGTGAGAATTTTTGGTGGTATTCATGGCATGGTGTTTTGTCAAAAATGCTGTTTTGTCAGGAGACAAAATACCTACCTCCACAAAGTCCACAAAGACTATAAATATTTTTGTAAATATAATTTCAATGAACTGATGAGAAATTTAAAATTAACTAACTTAAACTGGGAAATTTTGACCAGTTAAATAAATACATTTACCCTTTCTAAATTCTCACAACTTTCTATTTGAATAGGAATTAGAAATAAATAGCTTTTAAGATCTAATTATTTTGCTATTTCAGTGCCTGTTTTAACTATATATCTGGGGGGCGGGGGCAATTGCCCTCAGAGAAAGAATGCCCCCCCCCTCCAGTAAAGTTCATTTCTGCCCTCGAAGTGCGAAGCAGAATTGCTCATGATTGCTGTCAGAATTGCAGTTGATTTACTTGATAATGAGATTATGCCCTTCCATAGCCTCCTCCACAGCTATCTTGTGTGTAATTCATATTGTTCTTCACCGAGTATTTCATAATAGCGATAGATTTCATGCAAACAATCCAATAAAATGCTGTTTCCAAGAAGAATAGATTTAGTTTGAGAATGCGGAAATGGTGTCTCATAGAACCGAAAATGATTTAAATGCAACATTTCTGATCAAAATCACATAGGGATCCCCC